AGTGTCAAAAGCTACCCAGTGACCAATACACCTTATTGTTTTTTCATCTGCATTCTGGAAATAAGACACATTTATTATGAAATTTCAACAAATATGCACCAGTCACTACTACAGGAGGCAGTCAAATTTGATAGCGCTGGCAAGATGTAGGACTCAGAGCTGACCTTGTGCAAAGTCTTCCTTGGGTATTTCTCTACCCAGCACCAGCTCCCCTGGACATGCTTCTCACTCCATAAAAAAATAGGAAGGGAGAGAGGGAGGGAGGAAGGGAGGCAGCCCTGATTTCTCCTAAGGCCTCATCACAATACCACACACAGTTTTGTGTATGTAGATACGTATGTATATGTAAACACACACGTACGGCTTCTAATAACTAAGACCTTCACATAAAATGAGTTTGTATTAGATAATCAGATAATCAAGGATCCACTTACAAGTTAGTTTCCCATGCCTCATAAATAGTATATCTAGATTAAGTTAAACTTGTTTTAGAGGCTTGATAATGAAGTGAGAAGGCAAAGAAAAACTTAAATTAGTATCTTCAGTAGATACGTGTTTCTATTCTCTTCCCTATGTGTCTTAGGGAAATGTGCCTCCCATCAGTCTCTTCTGTATACATGGAGTAAAAGTATTATATATAAAGATGTGTCTCAGTTACCTAAAGCTCACTGTGGGTTTCTAAGAGACCGTTGAGTATCCTTGATTTTCAACACTCCTATCACCAACCATGGCCAAATGCCTTGGGAACTCACTGGTAAGAAAGAAAATGGCTGGATCTCAAGGGAAACACTAGCTAATTCAGCCTCCAAGTCTATAAATGTCATTTCAGGTTTATGTCTTTGATATAAATTTTAATCTCCATCTGCTTTCATGTATTACTTTCTTGTATTACTCGGGGTCCTCTAAAGAACAGAACTGACGGAATGAATATGTCTGTTAAAGGGGGAGTTATTAGTGTTCTACAGAATATGATCTGGGCATTTCACCTATGGCCGTGTCACACTGGAGAGGGCAGAATCAGGTAGTTGCTCAGTACCTGAGGCTGGATGTCCCAGTGGTCCCAATATGGAGCTGACAGTCTGGAGGATTCCTGGAGAGAGGCTGGATTTTGCCCTACATTGGCGCCCCATAGAAACTGGTTCTCACCTCAATGCAGGGCAGCCACTCGCAGGAGATATTCACATTTAGTATGGCTCTTCCTGCTTCAAATAATCTGGTCAAGAAAATCTCTCACAGGAGTGTTCCTCAGTTTATTTTAGTTGACTTCAGATGCCATCAAATCGACAGATCAAGACTAGCCACCGTATTTCTCTAGTACAATTTCCCCCTTTTCCTTAGTCCATAGCACGTGAAGAAGACATTACCCAACGGAGCCTCTTTTCATAGTTAAAATCGGTAGCATCAAGACCGTGGCATGAAATATTGTAGTTGTCCTTATATTCAGTGTTTCACTGCGGTATCTGTTACCAGCTTATGAATAAATAGCGTTCTCTTCATATTGGGGCAAAGTGATGTAGCAGCCGCGGGCTGAGTTATGAGAAAATGAAGTAGACGGTCCAACACCATTACAGCATAAATGGTGCTATCTAGAAATTAAGGTAACAATGGACCCTAAATAGTAAGGCTATACCCACTTTCTAATTTTTTTTCTCCCTAAGAGATAACATGAAGCTTAAATTTACATTATGAATACAGCTTTCCTTTTATAAGCCGAAGCACATTATTTTGGGCCATTGAGCAAACTCATTTTTATTCATTGCCTTTTAAAGTTGACATTTAGCTTCCATAGCTGTACAGCAGCAAACAGCGAAAGAAATTTTAATATCCAAGAGAGTAGATTTCAGGCTACCACAGGATTCTACTGTGTGGCCTCCTGTAATTAATAATACATTTGCTGAAAGGAAGAATTGCGTATGGAATGAGTTGAAGAGGGATGGAGTTGCCCATGTGTTTATTTCCTTGCTCATACTCACAAATCAAATTACACAAGCAAAGCCGTTCTTGCAGTTCAAACTAGTAAGTGTTGACTTCTCGAAGACTTGTCTTCAAAAGCTAAAATCGACAACATTTGCGTCTACATGCCTCGAATCTCTAAATCAGATAAGATGGGAATGTGGCATTCCTCTTCCATCATAATTTGCTGTTGACCGTTAGAAACAGACAGTTTGTTGACGACGTACCTATGCCACAGCTACAGCATATCAGGCTCTTCAAGCGCCAGAACCCATAGGGGATGGGGATGTGGGCAGCCTTGCTCTTCAGAGCACGGAAGTCAGTGGGGAAGATGGTGATCCAAACCATTACACACAGAGATGAGTGATGTTTAGACAAAAGAGGTGCACAGGGCTGTGGATATCCAAAAGGAGGGACCTAACCAGGTCATGGGAATGGGGGTACAGGGAAGATCTTCAGGAAAATATGTCCTTTCAGGAGAGACTGCATGACTTCAGAATTGGGCATGTACATTAATCCCGCTTCTTCAAATACTCCATTAAAACTTCATATATATTCTTAAATACATAAATATATGCATCTATAAAAGTATATGTAAATATGGGTATATGTACACACATATATGTATACACACATATTACAACAATTAATGAAACAGAGGCCATGAATTTGAAAAAGAACAAGGAGAAGTATACAGGAAGCTTTGGAGGGCAGAAGGGGAAGGGAGAAATAATGCAATTATAATCTCAAAAAATAAAAAAAAATACTTTTAAAAACTTTATTTTTAGAATATTTTGGAAATTAGAGCCCACAAGAACACAGAAAGCAGAGAAAGGAGAAACAACCTTCAAGACCTCGAAAGAAGAGGAATGTGGCTTGGAAAAACTATCCTGGAATCAGCAAAAGGAGCTGAGAGGAAATACTTGCTTAGTGGTGAAGTTTTAATTGCTGTCTCCCTCCCAAGCCTCCCACTGCCTAGCAACTGCCTCACCCCTCCTTAGCGGGAGACTCACTGGTCATAAAGGGTAAAAAAAAGTTCTTGGTCAACAACACAAGCAAGAGATGCTCTAAGGTAGACTTGGTAATGATGTCCCAACATGATTGATTGTCCTGGTCTTCAACGACAAAGGCCTTTCACCCTTCATCTGGAAGACTGGGGTCCGGAAGACTGGGAGCCTCTACTAGGAATCTGGCAATGCTGCTGCTTTGAAAGAACTACTGGCATGGTCCCCTCTAGGGAAGCTCCAGGTCAGAAAGTCTCACAGGCTTTGAGTCTCACCATTGATCAAGTCTATAAATGTCAAATACTGATTACCAGTCTAGAAACATGCCTTCAGGATAGACAGACAGCTCTATCTATCAAGTGAAAAACGGGAAAGAAAAAAAAACAAGCACCTTGGAGAAAGAAGAATATGTGCATGAGGAAACAATGAAAAATAGTTATGAATATTCTAGATGCAGAAGAAAAATATCCTATGGGTGTGAACTCAGGTAACAAAAGATAAATTCAAAAGAAAGATAAGAAGATGCTACAAAACAACACAAAGTAAGAGAGAGAGAAAAGGCCAAGAAAATCAGAGGACCCAGACAGGCAACTCCATCTCCAAATAAAGGTTTTGCAGACTAGAGCACAGAAAGGGAGAAATAAACCATGAAATGCTTCTGACTTCAAGCAAGTCTATAGAGGAAAGGATCCAGCAGATTGGACACAAGGCCCACATCAGTTACCATAGTGAGCCCTGTAATATGTCACCAGACACCCCGAATGCCGTGATTCGATCATGAGTACACTTCCACGTATTTATACATTACGAACATGGCATCTTCTTTAGAAAAATGATTGGGTCAGAATTATTTTTGCAATGACAATTCTTGCTATCAGATAAATACATTTCTTTACCCATAAAAGTGTCTATGTCTTGCTTGCTGTATTGTCGATTTGCCTTGTTCACAGCTATGTTCTAGGACACTGCCACAAACACCCATTTAGCAAATACTGAACCATCACAAGAGATGGGAGGAAATGGGAGGCTAGATTCCTACAAGCCTCCTGTGCTCCGATGTCCTTTGGTTTAGGTTTGCTCCCACATTGTTAGAGAAAGAGCCTACTGTCTAGCCCAGAAGGCCTCAAACATGTTATCCTCCTGCCTCAGCCTCATCTCACAACTGCCAAGATCGCAGATGTGAATGAAGTACCCACAAGTCTTTGGTTACATTTGATCAACACATAACCTTACTTTGAGTGTCTCTGGTTACATTTGATCAACACATAACCTTACTTTGAGTGTCAGGGTTCAGGTACTGTTAACCACCAATTACTTTGTAACTCTTGCCTGAATGAAGCTTCCTTCATGTGGAGATTTCCATCCAGTCAAAGGCAAGCCATGGCTCTCTTGCACTTAAAAGCAAGAGACCTCTCCAGCTCTACATTTAGGCAGCAATTTTAATGAGACAGACAAATAGCATGGAAGTTAGCAAAGCACAACAGACAGCGATCTGTGAAAAGGACACATGTTCGCAGAGGGAGAGCTGCAGCAGCAACACAGATCATCTTTTATTACCTCAGCTGGAAGTGCGTGCGCACAGGACTCAATCATCGGCTCTGGCCATGAACGGTTTCCTCAGCTTCCTACGAATTGATCTTTTTTTTCTTTTTTTTTTTTTTGCAGTGTATGTTTGTTTGGTTTGTTTAGGAAGGTCTCACTATGTAACCCAAGCTGGCCTGGGATCCGCAACACTCACACCACAGCATCTCAAGTGCTGGCAATGTAAGCATGTGCCATCCTGCCATCATTTGAAGACTGCAAATGGCTGTTGGAGAATAGGAGGATACACGAATAAGTGCGGTTTTATTTGTTGGTGTCATTGTAGTTATGATTGTCATTTTTGTTAATTGTTACTATGTCTCTTTACGGACAAAAGTCTGTTATTAAGAAAGTCCAAAATTGTAAAGGACATTTTGTTGACCTTGGAACATCCCTCACCCCAATAGACAAGCTGTTGAATCAACATCTTGTACAATCAGCAGCAGTTTAGGGACAACTTACGGATTTCTCTGATCTGGTGGGCATCCCGTAAAAACATCCCGAAAGCCCGTGGGAGGCAGTTCCGGATCCCTGTAAGCAAGACAGTGTCTTTTAAGAAACACATCAGACTTCCACATTTGACATTTTAAAACCATTCAGAACTAATTTGGAACTGATGACTTTCAGAAAAATTTTTAAAGTTTGTGATATTTATATACTTTGAAACTAAAATAAACCAACAAGAGGTTTTAATATTTTTGTCATTACTTTGATTGTGTTTTCCAATAATTACAATGTAAAGCAAAGATTATTCTACGTACTTCTCTGGAGGGGGTACTCTGCCTGGTGTACGACAGCAGGTGTATCTACTATAGTTGCTACCCTCAAGGATTCACTCTGTCTCTTTCTGAAGAAATACACACGAAGAAATACCTGCAATCTCTTGTAAATCAGACTTAACAATACCCAAACTGCAAGACCAGCAGAGCAACTAATCTCAGTCAATGACAACTTACCTAATTCCCACTGGCAAGCAAAAATAGATGTGTTTCATACTTTATTTCTCCTAAACTTCAGAACAACCCTCTGAAGTAAGCATTTAAATTACTTCCGTTTGACATGTGTACAAACAAGATCATAGATGCCAAATACCTTTTATAAGTAAATTGTAGAAGCAAGGTTCAAACCCAAACAGTAAGAACCCTGAGCCAGAAAACAATATCAATAAAATGTGAGTTTTAGTTGAACTTTGGGTAAGGAAAACCTTCATTGGTAAATGATGGCGGGTGGAGAATCCTTTGGCAAACAGCGTAGCGAGTCAGCAGAAACCAGAACATTTGTGACCCAGTCCTTGGCATACAGCTGGGACTACTTGCCTCTTTCTGGTGAATAGAAACCTTTCCCGAAACTGTGCGTTCTACAAGCAGAAGAAGAGACAACAAGTACCTTTCCAGAATCCGGGGGCAGGTTGTTTCATCGTTTACTAAGGCCTTTTTCTTACTCTGCACCAAGTCTCTGTTTAAAAAAGCTTGGGACATCTGTTCATGTGTTTCTGATATCCACCTCTGGAGAAATAGAAGCCACATGGAAGAAAAATTAATTAATCACCAGCAAGGTCAGGCACTGAAACATTTCCCTACTAAAGCATATTCTAATTTTAATTACTGATTCCAGCTGACATTTCAAACTTAAAAAAAATAGCTCATAGCTATTGACTATCTCACCATGAGTATCCAAAATTAGCAATTCCTGTGTGTGGTTGGGAAATAATAATCAATTCATTTCTCCCATAAAATGGAAAGTGCTCATTCAATTAGGTCCTAATTCTTCCCAGTTGCCCTTCTTTTAACCCTTTCAGGATTGGTGTACTTTTTAAGTTCCCTAAGAAAACCCTAAAGGTCTTCCAGGTCTTCAAACACCACTGTCACCGTATTCTGTGCTGTCCGTTCTCTACCAAAGGATAATTCAGTGGGTTCTCAATCAATTATTACCATGAGGGACCATCTGAAAATTAGAAGATCTACTTAGACCGTGGGCAGAAGGATGGTGGGCAACATCTAGAGGACCTTAAGAATAGAAGTTCTTGTTCTCAAGGGCTGGAAGACTGTGGTGAGCTTAGGATTCACTATTATTACCATACAAACTTAGAGATCAGGATTTTTGGAAATCCAAAACAGAGAAGCAGAATTTATCACCAAGAAAATACATATTTTCCTATCCCAGAAGACTAGATTTCCCAAGACAACCCGTCAAACTCCAGAATACATTATACCCCAAAGAATATGTTTATAAAAAGAATTTTTAAAAAGAGTGGGAGAACTTAGGGAACCTGAAGTCCTCCACTGCAGGATTATCACAGCTATGGCCAACGGCTTCAGGACAGTTTGCTCTTAGCACAGTCTCTGCTGTAGCAATTCAAGGCCATTTTAACCAGTGTCTCTGGTCATGGTCCCCTGATCTAGGTCACGGCTCTCCAGATTCTCGGTTGTTCCCATCACTGATCTCAGAAGACCACAAGCTCCTGACTCACATGGCCTCCCCACATCACTTTCTCTGTTCCAATCCATACGCCATTATCTTTGTTCTTTTTTTTCCTTCTTGGATTTTCCTGCTCACAAATCAGGAGCAAGGAAAACTAGATTGGGCCTTGTATATTGCAACAAAAAGAAGACATATTTAAATGTCTCTTGGGGGGTGAGTTAGAAGCCATCATTTTGTTTGGAGGTATAAGATTTTAAAAATTCATTTTCCAACCCTCTGAAGGCTGTATGAAGTGAAGGTGTTTCCAGGCATGGAAAGTTTCAAACTCCACACCGGAGTCAAAATACAGCAAGTAGTACAGAAAGAGGTGAAGACCCTGTCTGGCCACAGAGTTGACTCAAAGTCTCCGTGTAAGTGAGGCAAATGCCACCCACTGATACTAGGTCTTGCTTCCTCCCCTTCAACAGTAGACTTTCTCATTTCAGCTGGATTCTTGGCATGTTGGACTACATTTCCCAGCCTCCCTTCACATGTAGACAATGTATGCACTGCACTATGGAACATTAGTGGGAATCTTTTATACAGCTTCCTGGGACAATCTCCTATATTCCTGTTCCTGCTAAGTGTAATGGGTTTCCAGCAGTCATTCTGGATCTTACCCAAGGAATGCAGAGCAGAAAGTTATGAGCCTAGATCTCTTGTGACCGTCTGTGAAATTTCCATACTAGTTCTGGTCTTCTATCCCCCAGACTTTTACACGAGACAATAAAACCTTATGTGAACAGCCCCTGTTGATTTCTGGGTTTGGATGCTCAGAACCAAATCTAATCTAATCCTAAACCATCTTAATGTGAAAATCACTTTTAATCTGATATAAGCATAATTCATAAAAGCACTTCCATATGTTCAAAGGTCTTTTGAGATATATATGTATATTTATCAAAGTGGAGATTGGCAATTTGGTGCATGAGACAGCTAAATCAACACAGCACAAACTCACAAGATAAACACTAAAATTTCCATTTGATTTGCATAATAAAGCCTGGCTTGAATCAAGTGACTTTTTTTTAAAAAAAAAATCAAATGTTTACAAGAAGCTCATTTCAAAATATCATAAATATTTCCTATTTTATTGAGAGTCAATTTTTTTAAGGATCTAAATTTCCAGAATAAACTCACCCATGAGTGGTGCATTTAAGAAAACCCAGTAGATTCAACATCTGCATAGCAGGTTAGGGGGGAAGGAATTTTTATTTTAATTTTATTATCTAAATTTTCACTTTTTTCTCCCCGTCCCCCCTTATCCCCAACCCAGCCCACCCCCAAGATCTCAATTTTCTCCCCGGCAATTTTGTCTATTTCCCATAGCCAAGAGGATAACTATATGATTTTCCTTGGGTTCACCTTCTTATTTAGCTTCTTTAGGTTCACCAGGTATACACTCCGCTTATGACTCCCCCGCACATTGCACACCTGAGGGGAGCCTGCCTGCTCGGTGTGCCTTACATCCTGTGGCTAGGTTCACTTCAGAAGCTCCTCCACTGGGAGTTCTTCTTGGTTCCTAGGGTCTAGAAAAGTCTGACTCCTCTAAAGGAAGTACAAATACTTCCCAAGTCAAGTTTCTCCCTCTGATACAACAGGTTGTTTCTGGGACTTTCTATCCCATCATCTTGGCAAGTATGAGCGACCCCAGCCGTCAGGGAACACTTTTGTCCCCCAGGTTATACCCTCAAGGCCCAAACTTAAGAGTTCATCCTTTCAGCTGTACTCACTACCTTCACTCTTTTTCCAGAAAATTCCTCCACCCTCCAAATACTTCTGGCCACTTCTTTTCAATTACTTGTTCATTTAGCTCTAAGACACCAAAGCATTGAAATCTAGTTCTTTCCCAAGTGCTCGGTGTGGTCTCCATGAGAAGCATGTCACCTCTGGAATAAGGATGAGCTCTTTGATCATTAACAAAGAAGTTCTACTTGAGCCTGTTAAATAGCACTTTTAATCAAGGATGAAGATTTTTGCATCATTACCAAAAAAATCATCTTCATCACCAGCTAATACCAAGATATCATAAAAGTTCTCTATTTAAAAATCAGCAGCTAGAGCCAGGTGGTGATGGCACATGCTTATAATCCCAGCACTCAGGAGGCAGAGGCAGGCGGATCTCTGTGAGTTCAAGGGCAGCCTGGTCTACAGAGCTAGTTCCAGGACAGGTTCCAAGACTACACAGATACCCTGTCTCAAAAAGAAAGGAAGAAAGAAGGAAAGAAAAAAAGAAAGAAAGAAAGAAAGAAAGAAAGAAAGAAAGAGAAAAAGAGAAAAGAAAAACCAATCACCAGCCATTTCATTCCAGAAGCTCCAGAATTCCTTTTAACCCTGCTGTAGCCTCCAGGAACCCTTCTTCCCACTCCACTTCCATCCCCTGGGGATTCTGACTCTTGGTGTGTACACAGGATGACACAAGCTCTTTCTTGATGCTCCTCTCAGCCTTGATTTCTAGCCCATCTCCATCCCTTTGTGTCACTTAAAGACCTGAAGAAACACTCTCTAGCAGCTACCACACAGGCAGCCATCACATTTGCCTAGGATCCAGAGCGGGCAAGGACAACCAAACAGAACACCCACCCAACAAAGACAAGACCAGATACCTACACATCAAGAAACACCTCAGTTACCATAACTCCAGATACTTAGATTCCAGCACACAAAAATACAAACATGAACAACCAAGCCAGCATGTGTCCTCAAGAATACAGCAACCCTACTGCAATAGGCTGGGAGAAAAGCAATTTATTTGAAGCACAAGACAAGGAGTTTGAAATAGCAATTACAAATATGTTCAAGGACTTCAAAAAGAATATGAATAAATGCCTTAATGAAGATCATGAAAACACAAACTGTTGAATGAAATAATGAAAATAATCCAAGACATGAAAGCATATTTAACAAAGAAATAGAAACACTGAAGAAAACCCAAATTGAAATAAAAATGGAAATGAAAACCTTAGAATATCAAATAAAAACCTCAGGGATAAGCTCATCAACATATTACAAGGCATGGAAGAGAGAATTTCAAGTTCTGGAGACAAGGTAGAAGAAAAAAGATAGTGCAGTCAAAGAAAATGCTAAATCAAAAAAAAAAATCCAGGCACTAAACATGCAGGAAATCTGGGACACTATAACAAAAAAGACAAAAACCTATAAATAATAGGGATAGAAAAAAGAGAAGAAATGCAGGTCGAAAGCACAGAATATAGTTTTGAAAAATAGTTTCTTCAATCTACAGTAAAAAATGCCTATCAAGGTACAAACGAACACCACGTAGACAGGAAGAGAAAAAATATTCCCTACAACACATTAATAACTAAAACACTCAATGTTCAAAACAAATAAAGGATATTATAAAAGCAAGAAAGACCAAATTACATAGAAAGGCAGTCACATTAAAATAACACCTGGCTTTTCAAAGGAAACTGAATTCCAGAAGGGCCTGACAGATGCTCTAACAAACTCAAGAGACCACAGATGCCAGCTCAGACTACTATATCCAGCAAAACTGTCAATCACAATAGATGAAAAAAGAAAAACATCCTATGATTAGAAAACAAATTTGAGCCGGATTTATCTACAAATCCATCTCTACAGAAGTCACTAGAAGGAAAATTTTGGTTTGAAAAAGTTAACTACACTCAACAGAACACAAGGAATAAATAATCCCAGTAAATAACAGAGGAGGGGGAAATCCATACCATTACAACAAAATAACAAATCAATAAATACAGCTCATTGATAACTCAGTATTAATGGTCTCAGTTCCCCCAATAAAAAGACACAGACTAACACAGATTGTATTAGAAACTAGGGCCCATCTTTCTACTGGTCAAAGAAAGACACTTCATCATCAAGGATATGCATCACCTTCAGGAAAAAGAGATGGTTCAGCAGTTAAGAACACTGCCTGCTCTTCTAAAAGACCTGAGTTCAATTCCCAGCAACCACATAGTGGCTCATAAACATCTGTAATGAGAGCTGGTGCCCTCTTGAGGAAGAGACCTGATCACTGATCCTCGTCAACTTAGACCATTAA